TTCTCCCGAGACAGCGCAATCAGCCGCTGCAGGAGCTGGAGGAGCTGGTCTGACGGCACATCGAAGTGCTCGGCCTGGGTCACGGCACGAGGAGAGCATGGGCGTGAGCGCACCACAAAATGGTGTTGGGGAGGCAGAGTATACTTACGAGCGTTAGCGGATTAGGAGGCAGGGGGGTGCCAGTCCAGTGATAGGCCCGAGGAAGGAGATTGGCCCTTGTGAGGTCCTCGAAGAGAACCTGGGCTGAGCGTTGAAGTGGCCCGGCAGAGGCCAGCAGGCGCCAAATCAGGTAGTAAACCTCTGAATGAGCCACAAAAGACACAAAGTGTGAGTCGTCTCTTTGCGTCGATCAAGATTCCAAGTCCCAGTACCCTCTAGAGGCAAATTGCAGGACTCCATCCGGTGATAGTGCGCAGCCGCTAGCGCATCTCTTGCTGGCTTTCTTTTTATATTCAATAATCGTGGCGAAGTCGCAAGAAGATGGAGAAAATTGCAAAGAAAAAGGTGAGAAAAAAGAAAGAGGGCATGCCACGAATAAACAAACAAAAAACTCAAACTAACAAAAAACAGTCTTCTTCTTTTTCTCCCCTTGGACCAACTAAAGAACTCCACAGCAGGTGTGGATTGGATGAAGCTGTAACATATTGACCAAGCTCCCCATACAGATTGAATGGGCTTCCCACTGAGCATGACACCATTTGGCTGATCAAGATTGACCTGAATGATGCTAGCATGTGTTGGCTGCATGACTGTGAGGCAAACCTCAATGCAGGCAGCAAGCAGAACAATAATTTATTAGCCCTACAATCAGCTGAACTCATTACTGGGACACCAGAAGACCACGGAAAGCCTCATAGGAGAGGCTCACCTGCTGATCCTCACTGGCTGTGCAGCTCATGACTGGTGTCTGCCAGTAATAGTTCACTGCCAGTTCCTTGTCCTTACCTGTGGTACATGTTGGCACCACCAGTTAAATGTTAATGATTGGGTGACACACAATGCTGGGGTATAACTGTACCTGGATCAGGGTCACCAAATGCCTTGTTCATGCATCCATTGGGAGTGAACCAATAGCCAAATGCATCAATGCTCTTGCCTCCTGTGATGGTGATATTATTATGAGACTCCTCAGCCAACATAATCTCATGTGGGTGACGTACCCTTTTTGGC